CGCTATTTGATATTAAATTGCCTATTTCCATGTGTTTCTACCATTGTATTTATTGTATTTTCATTTATGTGGCCAATGAATGAATATGTTTCGTGAAGTGTACATAATTCGAGAGAAGATTGTGCATTTTAGACTAAAATGGTAGAAACTCTAGGTTTGTGTAGATGATAGATATATACCTCTAGCCTTAGGTGACCCAATGAACTATTTTCATACAATTTAATGCGGTTGTTTAGTTGTAATCGACATAGAGATATAGTAGGTTTAACTAATCAATTAGGGTTAATTTCATTCAAGAGAGGTAATTAGCTAAAATTGAAAAATGGAGTCTAACATCCTAAATGAGTAATTTATTAATTGACATGTGGAGAAATTAATTAGGTGACGGTTAAGCAAAACCATGAATCCCAACCACGTTTTCCTCCAAAATTCCCATATTTTCTTAGTTTGTATGTTTTTTCCTTTGTTTCTAAAATCAACTCTTTATTGTGTGTTTGTTTATTTTCATTGTTAGAATTAAATTGATTAAAGTTGTGTAATTTAAAGTAAATATTTCTCGAGAGATCGACAACCCGGATTTCAAAGGTCCACTTTATTACTTGAACGCGACCCGTGCACTTGCGGTAGTATTTTAGCGAACATCATCCTTTCCCCTAGGTGGCTCAATTTTATTGTTGACAACACCCCTATCAACTTTCTCTTCATCCCACCTAGACTTCCAAGATGAATTAGGCCCCTGTTGATTCCTAGTTGTCCCCTTTCGCTTCAACTACATTTCAACCTTCATTGCTGCGTGTAACATATCTTCCAACTCCACGTAATACTGCAATTCAACAATATTGGTGATGTCCCTATTCAATCTATTCAAAAACCTTACCATGGTAGCTTCCCGGTCCTCCCTCACATTAACCTGAATCATCAAAATTTCCATCTCTTTGTGGTAGTCCTCCACACTCGTAGAACCCTGATACAAACCCTGCAACCTTTGATGGAGTTCCCTATAATAATGACTAGGTACAAATCTCTTCCTCATAACTGTCTTCAACTCATCCCACGTACTTATCAACCTCTCCCTATTCCTCCACCGTGAAGTGACCATCTGATCCCACCAAGTGATGACGTAATAAGTGAACTCTAAGACTGCAAGTTTCACTTTCTTCACCTCCGAATAGTTGCGGCACTCAAATATTAATTCCACTTTCTTCTCCCATTCTAGGAACGCCTCTGGATCACTCCTACCCCGAAATGTCGGAATGGACATTTTTATGCTGCCCATACCTTCATCAACATTACCTCCAGCATTGTTTCTGCCTCTTCGTTTAAACCTACCACCTCTATTCCTCGTCCGTCACATCTCTACTTCTTCAAATTCATCATCATCACATTCACTGTCATACTCATATTCATTTTGCACATCCACCCTAGGTTCTTGTCTAGCTGGCCTCCTAGCATGTGGTATGTCTGCCCGTTGACCTCGGCTAAGGTTTGTAATCGTCGCGTCAAGCCTGTCCAACCTATTTTCCATATTTATCGTCATCTGCTCAAATCGCTACACTAAGTCATCTTGTATGTTGATTTGATTGCCGTTTAGGCTAAAATTTGATCCTTTCCTATCAGACATTGCTCACAATTTTCTAACTCACCAAAGTTCACTCGGGAATCACTCAATATTAGGCTTTTACCCTCAATTGAACTCACCACTCAGTCTTTTACCACTCAAGCTTCCAATCAATGTCCAAAGAATAATTTTCGAACTCAACTTGAATGATTCTTGTGGAATTCCAATTGAATTGTGCAGATTCAAGATTAGAAAGAGAAAGGGCTAAAGTATTAAATGGAATTTTTGGAGACTAAATTTTTTTTAATTAACAGTACGATATGGACTGTACGGTACGGATGGACAATAGCAGTAATTTTTTTTAAAACACAAAACAATTAGACTATTAAAAACTTTTAGACCTGGGACTCAAATTTAATGGGAAATAAGAAGAACAACGAAGAAAAACTTAAACAAAGGCTCCAAACGTAAAAAAGGGATATGACTTTGATTATGGTGTCTAAACTCTGATACTGCCTGATGTGAACCCGAATAGTTAGATCACTATTAAACCCACAAAAGAATGACACAAACCACTAGAAAGCCAGAGAAATCAAAGTTTATGAAATTTGACCCAACAATTAGTGAACCAAACAACCAATATAATCACACGGATATATTGACATTTTGATTACACAATTAAAGAAATCAAACCCGGAATTTAAAGATTGACCCAAAGAATTAAATGAACCAAAAATCAAAGCAATTACTAGATTACCTTGACCCCGTGATTGCATAACCCACGAATCGCACTTTGATTGGTGAATGCAATGGAAAATTATCCCAATAAGTTCGATAAATTGTTTGCGAAGAACAAAGAAGGAAGCAACATTGCCTATGATTAATTCAATATCAAAAGTCTTGTAATACAATGAAGAAATAAATTCCCTATTTATACTAGAAACTATTAAACCCTAGATAATAATTTAAAATGGAATAAAACTCTAAAAATGCTATTTTAAAAAAGTAAACACGTCCAAATGATGGTAAAGATATCAAAAGGTAAGAATTCTAATTGTATAAGGTAACTGTCCAAAAATCTGGAATTCTCGTTCAAACATGTCTTTATGTGGATCACATCAGGTTATATGACACGATATAAAGTATTGATTGTACAAATAAGAATAAGATTAAAGTAAGAAGAGGCTGACGAAAGAACTGAATAATTTTATTAATTAATAATCGAAGAAGAGAAAAATACAACTTCAGTAATACAATGAATTGGAAGAAGAGTCAAATATATATAGGACAATCTAAATCCTAGAAGCAAAATTGTAAATGAAATAGAATGCCCAAATTTATTATTATTATTATTATTATTATTATTATTATTATTATTATTATTATTATTATTATTATTATTATTATTATTATTATTATTATTATTATTATTCTCGATCTCTTTGAATCTAATACAAATGTCAACTCTTAATAGGGCTTCCAAATAGGATTTCAACAAGAATTTGTCAATAAATTTCGAATAAGATTCTAAAAGTATTTTAAATAGAATTCTTCTTATTGTGCATTTTAATTAGAACTATCAATTATATTTATCAAAGAATTCAAGTCACACGTATTGGCGGACCTATAGTTGGTCCCAGTAGGTTACGTGACCCACTAATTAAAATGCATTTTTTTTTACATAAAATGGAAAATGTTAAAAATGGAGTAATAAAAAGCCCTTCCACTTTCCAATTTAGAGACTCCAAACCATCCCAAATTCCAATCCCAAGATTCCGCTACCAAATTGAAATTCAATGCAAGAGCCCGTCCCACTCCCAGTTCAATCCTGTTTCCCAGCTCGACGGCTTCCAATTCCAAACTTTGAAGCAAAACCCAGCAATTTGATCCATCCCTGTCGTCGCTGCCAACCATTTGACTCCCTCCGTCGGAGACTCTACCACTACAAACGGCAAAACAAGACACCGAACACAGCAATACACTTTGAATTGTAAGGAGATTATTCCTATTTTGTGCTACAATTTTATCTGAAATTCGGGATTCAAAATTTCAATTTCTTATTCACGTAACCCTTTTTTGTGTGCAGTTTCTTCAATTGGAAATTGAAATTATGGCTGCATTTGGGTGTCTTGGTCATTGCTAATCTGCTATGTCTTGAAAGATTCAATTTTAAGGGAGTGAGATACAGAAAGGTATCTAGAATTTTCTATTAATGATGAATGATGATATATAAATAATATAAATTATGGAATATTTTTATACTGTATTCACACTCTTCCTATTTCTTTTTTGAGCTACATTTATTTTCGATGATTGTTCCTACTGTTGTTATTATCTGCCCTCAGTTCTTTCCAATTCTTACTACTGAATTGAAAGGCAAATAATAATATGAACTATAACTTTATTAGTCACTCAGCCCAGAAATTTTATTTTAACTGAAGTTTCGCCACCTACAGTTGTGACACGAAAAAAGAAAGCTTATGTTGTTTAATGAAGTTATCCAATATGAAACCTTGTATGTTTCAGGCGCATCTTGCAAACAGCTCTTAAAAATATCAAATAAACTATCCAAAACTTTCTACCAAATATGCTATATATGTTTTGAACACTTTTAGTTATCATTGTTTTTCATTTTTATAAAATTTCAGAATATGTGATTTGGAAATTTTAAATTTGTTGATGGATAATTAATTTGTGATTTGTGAATTGTGATTCGTGAGATTTAGTTGGGGACTGCATCAACAATTCGAAATAGATACAACATTATTAACGTTAAACTTAGTAACTTTAACCATTATTGATAGAATGATTACCTTTTCACTTGAATTGATTCTTTTCATTGTATGTTTGTAACAGTTATGAAAAAGTACTTTAAACGTAAATCTGTGTTTCCTTTCAATGAGCAAAATATTAATGAAAGAACTGTTCGAGATAGAAGGGATGAAAATGATGTTGGAGGTAAAAAGGATAACGAATTTGGCGATGAAATGAATGAAATTGATGGAACTAATCTTGGAGATGTCCCAATTGAAACAAATGTCGGGGATGTTAGAGATGAAAGGCTTGAATTTGATGTTGCATAGCTTCCTTCGAATCATGGATTAAGGGTTCCAATACAAATTTATGATGCTAATGTTCGAGATGTAATTCGAAGTGCATATGTGCAAAAGAGTCCATGTCAGCCTCGTAATCATGAATTTCCACCCAAAAGAATGGCTAATAAAGATAGGTGATTTTGTGTTTCATGGTATAACGAGTATCCTAGTTTGTTGGAATATATAGTACAACAAAAGATGCTGTACATTGCTTATACTACTATCTTTTTAGCTGAAGTGATGGTTCATTTGTTAATGGTGGGTTCTCAAATTGGAAAAAAAAAAAGAAATTATTAGAAAACACACTGGGGCACCAAGTAGTGCACACAAATAGGCTCGGGTCCAGTATGAATCATTCAAGACAAGGACAAAGCATTCAATCGTGTCTCTTTAAGCAATCACATCAAGCTCGAACAAAGTTTCGAATTCGTTTGAATGTATCAATTGATTGTGTTCGATTTCTTCTACAACAAGAGATCGCATTTTGTGGACATGATGGATTTGAATATTTAAACAATCGAGGTAACTTTCTTGAACTATTACATTGGTTGTGTGATCATAATGCTGAGATTGCACTTGAAAAATCACAAATTGACATCACCACGAGTTCAGAAAGATATTGTAAGTGCTATCGCTTCTGCAACTCTAAACGTGATTATCAAAGATATGGGGGATAGCTTTTTTCCTATTATAGTTGATGAATCTTGAGACATTTTAGTGAAGAAGCAAATGTCAGTTGTCATTCGTTATATGAAGAATGGGCATGTATTGGAACATTTTATTGGTGTTACGTATGTTTTGAGTACCACAACTGTTGCACTTAAGACTGCAATTGATCAATTATTCTCCACGCATAGCTTAAGTATATCTAATTTGAGATGTCAAGGATATGATGGAGAGTGTCAAATCACTTATTTAGAAAGAAAACTCAAGTGCTTATTACATTCATTGCTTTGCTCTTCAATTTCAACTAGCATTTGTAGCTGTGGCACAAAAGCATCTAAAAATTGAAGCTTTCTTCACTTCAGTACACAGATTGGTGAATATTGTTGGAAGATCGGCTAAGCAAATTGATCTTATTCGAGAGAAACAAAGACTCAAAATTCATGAAGCACTTAGTGTTGGTGAAATATCAAGTGGACGAGGTCTCAACCAAGAAACTACTCTTAAGCATTTTGGTGATATTTGTTGGGGCTCTTATTACAGTTGTTTGATTAACATGATTCTCATGTTTTCAGCCACCGTTGATGTTGTTGAGGCGATTGCTACTGATATACAAGTTCTGGAGCAAGAGGTGATGCAAATATTTTATTGGAAACAATGTTAAAATTCGAATTTGTATTTATTCTATATCTTATGAAAAAGATCTTGAGAATTTCAAATGAATTGTCGAAAACATTACGAAGGAAAGATCAAGATACTGTCAATGTCATGAAATTGGTTAAATTATTTAAAGTACAGATTCAAACCATGAAAGATGATGGATGTGTTTCTTTTTTTGAAATGATTTGTCCATTCTGTGAAGTTCATGAGATTAATATTTCAAATATGGATGATATATTCATAATTCTAGGTTGTTCACGACGTGCTACAGTAACAAATTTGCATTAATTTCGTGTGGAATTGTTTTATGCCATCATTGACATGCAACTTCAAGAATTGAATGATCGTTTTTTCGAGGTAAATAGTGACTTACTCCTTTGTATTGCGTGTTTGTGTCAAAATAATTTATTTGCTGCTTTTGACAAGAACAAAGTGATTCGACTATGTGGGTATTATCCAACAAATTTTAACACAACAAATATCTCAGAACTTGATGACCAATTAGATACATATATTTTTGACAAGCGCACTGATGTTGAAGGATTACAAGGCCTTAGTGATCTAACACAAAAATTGGTTGCGAAAAATAAGCATGAAGTGTATCCATTAGTTTTCAAACTTGTGACATTAGCCTTAGTTCTTCCCATGGCTACTGCTACAGTCGAGATAGCATTTTCTGCGATGACTTACGTCAAAAATCGTTTGCGCAATCAAATTAGAAATCAATAGCTAAATAATAGTTTGATTGCATATATTAAGAACGATGTATTTGACAGTATAAAAAATGATGTAATTATAGAACGTAATCAAAGTATGAAAACTCGTAGAGAACAATTATAATAAAATATTGAATAGATAAATTTTTTTGTAACTTTTTTATAAGTTATATTGTACTTAACTAACTCCAAATGTTTGCGTCTACCACTGGTCACACCCAGATTCTAACACTTTCAACATTTTTAAGTAAGTTTAAGCTATGCCATGCTAAACTGCTTATTTTTTAAGCTAAAAGTAGAGTTTTCAATTTTCAAGATTCCTGGTTTGATTACATTATTGGATTTTTTAGAACTGTGATTTCCTGCCCTCAGATTTTCTTGGCATTTACATTCATAGGGCATATGGAATCGTTTGATTGTGATTACTGATGTCTATCTTTCAAGAAATTATTCAAGACAAATGGATTTCGGGTTCAAACCAACTAGCTATTGTTACTTTGTTTCAATCCTAAAACGAAAATTAGGAAGTAAATTGGCATTTGTGCTTATCTATTAAGTCTGATTAATCATTAGTAACTCTATTTTCATTTAATTAGTGTTTCATTTTAATGAGTCGTAACAAGACTGTCAGATCATATTTCTGAATTTTTACTTCAAGGACCTCCGTGTGATCATACAATAGTTTTGGGTGCGATTGCACAGCTTATAAAGTTTGGGCGATGTTTATGCAATTTCTGCTGTTGCCATTGCAATCTCAATTATCCGATGCCATTGCAATGGTCACTGTACTTCCGTTCTGTGGGTTTTGATCCCTGAACCCAATTGATGTTCACTAAAAGTCATTTACTTAAAAAAAGTCTCTAGAAATCTTTCAAAATCCAAATCAAATAAACCTTTAAATATTCTATTGGCTGATCTTCTTTTCATCTGATATGAGCAAATAATGAACTTTTATTACCCTAAAATGTTAATATTTAATTTCAATCATGCTAAGAATCAAAAATCACAAAATAATAAATTGATAAATCGAATTCATACCTGCGGAAGCCATTGTTGATATGAATAATAGTTATAATAGCGGTCAAGATCTTCCCCTCCTTACTCCTCACAAAGTAATAGCTATCAATGGGGCAACCCAATAAAACATATAGAGAGGAGAGACGACCTAGCCTTTATATATAGGAAATAATTTGAGTCGTCCCATTACGACTAGAATTTTAATTAGGGTTTATTTTCGACCCACATACTTTAAATTACCACATCAAATTAATTACAAACCGTAAGATGTAAAAGGCCCAATTGATCACTTAATAAATTTGGCCCAAATACAAATATCATTATGAGCCATACATCTAACCCGTAAAATTTTGCAATTAAATGTGAAGCCCACATATGGAATTATTAATTATTCCAACATTCTCCCACTTGGGCAAACATTTGATTGCCATAACAAAGTTTTAACACCCGGGTTACTCTACATAGGTGGCCACAAAAGTATAGCTCCAATGATGACACCTTACGTAACATGATCCGGTCCAACAAGAATATTAACACCGAACATGAAAGTCATTACACCAATTTAAGAGATGTAAGATCATTCCACAACTACAAATGTCAACATCCTTATCGACATGGATCCCCATCCTCCAACCAATGTGGTAGTATGTGGTATGACTTAGCACCAAATGTGATAAAAAACTGTGCTAACTCATATCGGTCCTCAAAATGCTTCGAATCAAAATGAAGCCACATGTCTCTAAAAGAGACTCATCTTATATCTTTATACGTCATATTTCGAGATGCCACTAATATAAAAAGACATAAGTCAAATGCATGCTTAAAAATAGTTCATGGATAGGGGAAAAATTATTTTATTATCAGAAGGGGCTGTACCCAAAAACATATGGGTTACCTACGTACCCCGTAAAGGGATCAAGCCCAACACGTAGTTATTTACATAAATAACTCCCACTAACCAAAAACATCAAATGTTTCCACAATACCCATATTAGTAACATGTGTCTTAAAGACTTTTAGAGCGAGTCCCTTAGTCAAGGGATCTGCAACCATCGTCTCTGTATTGATATGCTCTATTTTCGTCTGCCCTTCTTTGACTCTGTCTCTAACAACCAAATATTTGATGTCAATATGTTTTGATCAACCAGAACTTTTATTATTTTTTGAAAAGAATACTGCTGCACTGTTATCACAGTAGATGGTGATCGGTCTTGAGATGGAATCAACAACTTTCAAGCCAGAGATAAAATTTCTTAACCAAACGGCTTGGACTGTAGCCCCATAACATGCCACAAATTCAGTCTGCATAGTAGAAGATGCCACTAAAGTCTGTTTAATACTTTTCCAAGAAATGGCACCACCAGCTAATGTAAAAATATAACTTGAGGTTGATTTCAAATCATCTTAACATCTAGCAAAATTAGAATCTGAATATCCTACCACCTCAAGATGATTTGTACGCTGGAATGTAAGCATATAACTTTCAGTTTTCTTCAAATATCTCACAACTTTCTTAGCTGCTTTCCAATGCTCTTGTCCTGGATTAGACTGAAATCTGCTAAGGACACTTACTGCGTAGGCTATATCCGGTCTAGTGCAAACTTGAGCATACATCAAGCTTCCCACAGCACTAGCATATGGGATCATCTTCATAGACTCCCTCTCCAACTCATTCCTAAAACATTGAGTTTTGTTAAACTTATCTCCTTTTATGATAGGTACATCACTAGGTGCACAATTTTGCATATTAAACCTTTCTAAAACACGTTGTATATAAGCTTTCTGAGAAAGTCCCAATAAGCCACGATTTCTATCATGATGTATTTCAATGCCAAGTACATAGGAAGCTTCTCCAAGATCTTTCATCTCAAAATTAGCAGACAACATTTTCTTTGTCTCATGAAGCAATCCTAAGTTACTGCTAGCAAGCAGAATGTCATCAACATACAGTACAAGGAAAATAAAATTTCTTCCACTGGTTTTAAGATAAATGCATTGATCAATAGTATTTTCAACAAAACCAAGAGATGTCACAACCTCATCAAACTTCAAATACCACTATTGAGATGCTTGTTTGAGACCATATAAAGATTTGTTTAACTTACACACTAAGTTTTCTTTTCCTTTTACAACAAAACCTTCAGGTTGTTTCCATTTCAGAAAGATCTCCATTCAAAAATACTGTCTTAACATCCATTTGATGAAACTCCAAATTGTAGTGTGCTACAAGAGCCATGATAATTCGAAAAGAATCTTTCGACGAAACAGGGGAGAAGGTTTCAACATAATCAATGCCTTCTCGTTGAGTGAAACCTTTTGCAACCAATCTTGCTTTCTTTCGTTCAACATTTCCTTTTGAATCTAATTTACTTTTGAAAATCCACTTGTTATCTACAGCCTTAACATCTGGAAGAAGTTCAACAAGATCCCAAACTTTATTCCTTTCCATGGAATTCATTTCATTTTCCATGGCAGCTATCCAATTATCTGCATCACGACTTGTCAATACTTGGTTATAAGTTACAGGATCAACAATATGCCCAATATTAAAATCGCTCTCCAATAAATATGCAATATAATCACTGGGCAATGTAGATCTTCTTTCCCTTTGTGGTCTCCTAGCTTATGGCTCAGGAATCAATTCAATCGTTGTTTGAGGAATTAGAGATTCCTCCTGGTTCCTCGGTTCTTCATTAACAACTTCAATTGGTTGAAAACCAACTCTTTCCTGTATGACAGGAACTGGAACTACAACTTGATTAGGTTCAACAAGAATTTCTCTCAACGTGGAACTCCCACTATCACCAAAATCGTTCTCCAGAAACTTAGCAGTAATGGACTCCACAATTCTAGTGCCGCGATTTGGACAGTAAAACTTATATCCCTTTGATCTATCCGGATACCCAATAAAGTAGCTAGGAGTTGATTTAGGGTATAATTTCTTTTCAAATGGATTATAAATCCTAACCTCAGCTGGACATCCCCAAACTTTAAAGTGAGCCATACTTGGCTTACGTCCTGTCCATAATTCAAAAGGTGTCTTTGTAACAGCTTTACTGGGAACTCTGTTCAAAATATACATAGCTGTTTTCAAGGCTTCACCCCACAAATATTCAGGCAAATTTGTGCTACTCATCATACTTCTAACCATATCTTTTAGAGTTCGATTACGTCTTGCAGAAACACCATTCTGCTCAGGTGTCCCTGGCATGGTGTATTGGGGCACTATTCCACACTCTTGTAAAATTTTTGCAAAATCACCCATATTTTGACCAGACTCGTCATATTTCCCATAGTACTCACCACCTCGGTCTGATCTTACAACTTTGATACTTTTCTCACATCGTTTATCTATTTCCAGTTTGAAAACTTTGAATTTTTCATATAATCAAGTAAACATATCCATATCGTGAGAAATCATCAATGAAAGTTATGAAATATTTATTCCCACATATAGTGGAAAGCAAAGGTCCACTGATATCAGTGTGAATTAAGTCCAAAATTCCATTACTCCTAGTCGAACCCTTCCTCGTAGACTTAGTTAACTTTCCTCTTATACAATCTATACTGGTGTCAAAATCGGAGAAGTCTACGGAAGGAAGTATCTCATCTTTTACTAATCTTTCCATTCTATCCTTAGAAATATGACACAATCGCTTATGCCACAACATAGAGGATGATTCACAAATTAAAGCCCTTTTCTTTGATACATTTGTAACACACGAGACATCACCAAAAGAAGCCAAAGATAATTTATATAAACCATCACATAAAATGCCATTCCCAATCAAACGAGAATCATTAAATAACTTAACCATTCCATTACCAAAATTAAATGTAAAACCACAAGCATTAAGTTTTGGTATAGAAATTAAATTCCGTCTCATCTGCGGTACATAAACTGTATTTTCCAAAACAAGATAAAAATCAGACTCTAAAGTTAACTTCACTACTCCTATGAATTCAACCTTCACTTAAAATCCATTTGCAACGCTC